CGGACGACGGCGGGCGACTTTCTTTCTTTCTTTGTACATCAAAATTGCTTTTTTAGTGACCTTAGATGAATCATAAACTACGTGTTCTTTGAGGAGAAAGGGTGCATGTCTGTCAAAAGGTCAACTGGACGCAAAAAAATTAGAAAAAGGTATGTAAAACCAGCAACGAATGTGTACTGCTTTCGCCGAATGAAAACATTTACATCTTCGTCGATTCACTGATTTGAAGTAAAGCTTTATGCTACGTTTCCTTTTAGAATTGGTATGGAAATGATATCAAGATGAGATTTTTGAAAAACTGCAGGAAGACACTTGCTGAAAGACTTTGTTTTGACACTTTAAATGATGTTTGATTATCCGCTTCGACGTGCCGGCACTAATTCAYCATCACTGACGAAAAAATTCACAAAACCACAAATAACACATGAAAGCATTGGTCGTATGAACTCCGTTTCATGGATAAGAAGGTGGAATTCATTTTCATAGAGATTTTTTATTGAACTGGTATCTGGTAAACAATATCAAACTGAAGATAATTTTATGCGAGCGATGCAAGAACTGCAATTGCAACAAACCGTACGAAAAAGCTACAAATAAAGWCCTTGATCGGATTAATTACGTTTAATAAATAAGCTGGTATTCATGTTTTTAGGTTAAACTAGTAGCTTGTTTATCGTGTACTAGTAGGTAATCGTTGAACTGAAAGAAATCTCGATTCTCAAGCTCAAATCGACAAATTCTTGTACTACTTTTCTTATGTAGTATCTCAATAAAATGCAAAATACTCACTAAATTCCTCAATTTTAGCTTCATAGAAAAATGTAACTWGCTTTTCACGCGTTTTTCACAATATTAAAGATGCAGTTAAGCTTATTACGTTTTTGATTTTTTACCAGTTTCAAGTTGCTTTGTTTATTTATAGTTTATACCGAAGATTCTATGCACTCAAAAACTACAAGAAATAGTAAAACTTTATGCAGAATACTCATAACTAGTCGTTACCAAGTTTTCGGATACATTTTTGTATAAATAGCTGATTTTTTTCCTATTCTACTTCTAGTTTTGAATCGCACTTGACAAAAAATGGTGACGTCAAAACCATGTTTACATACTCTGATACAAACACGGCAGTCGGCCAGTCAGAACGTGCGTAGTATCCAAGTTATTTTATAACTCACTATCGAGCATGGTAACTTGTTTGAAATATTGCAAAATAATTTTTGRAAAAGCAAAAATGAGATAAAGCTATTGGCGACTCGGCCTTTTTCGCTTTCGCGTGATGTTGATGTCTCCACTGTTTCACAGTACTTTCTGTTATTTGTACATGGTGATAAACTACTTCGTGCTTTCTTTTTGCATTTTCAGCGTCTTGTGGTTGCTGAATTGTTGTATTATTTCCAGCAACTCAATTTTTCCGCCCCCCTCCCCCCCCCAAAAAAAACAAAAACAACAAATTAGTAACCGATCAAAACAGAAAAAAATCTATATGTATGATATATGTTTTACAGTAATGCTCTTCGTTTAGGGACGGGTCATTATTTAATTCGGAGGGGGGTGGAGGAGA